GCACAGTGCATCAAATAAACTCCAGTTGCTCTGTTATTGCATGTTTTGAAAGGGGTTAGAGAAGCTGTATGGGGTGATAGCACAGCTCTTTCTGGCTGATAAAAGATGAGAATCAGAACAATGTGTAATTTTGCTTTAATAGATTGCCTTGACTTATTAATCCCTTTCATGTCTTTGCTTGTAGTGTTACAGATGCCCTGGAAGAAACAGAGGGATGTCTTTGTTCACAGTTGTTCATAAACAAAGACACCTCGACTGTCTGTTACAATTTTTGTGTGAGCCCAGCAAGTTTTGCTTCACTTCTCATTTTTGGAAATAGTGATTTGGTTAAACTTCTCTATGGCTTGGTTGACTAATGGATCTAATGGATTTATTCATGCTGCTGTATGTTGACTGGTACTTTGCAGATCTCAGTGGTACTTAATAGTGAGAAACTTTTTTTTTTGGCATCCTGCTGGAGAAAGCCTTGCTCTCAGTAAGATGCTCCTACATAGAGAAACCCAGGTTGAAAAGGACCACAGGAGGTAATCTGATTGAACCTCGTCACAGAGCAGGTTCAGCACTGAATGCACACCAGGTTTCTCAGGGTCTGTTCAGTCAGATCTTGGAAACCTCCACAGAGGTATTGTTGGACTTTGGGGCAGCCTGTGCCCAGGGTTATCTCACAGCAGTGAGGTTTTTCCTTACACCCAGTTTGGAGCCTCTGCATTTCTATGTACATCCACAGTCTGTTTCTCCCATCTGTGCCCTGCTGTGATGAGATCAAACATCCATCTAGTATCTGATTAGGTTACAATACATAGGAGACAGACTATCCATCCTTTATCTTCATATTATTGTACTTTCTATAGACAGATCACTGTGAAATTAATTTCCTTTTATTTAGTCTTCTTTAATTACCAGTGGCCTTTCAATTCTAGATGGGGAGTTGTAAAGCATGTTTCTGAAGTTCAGGCTTCTGATGCCTCAATTCCAGTGGGTTTATAACACAGTTAATATTATAATTCACATTGTGCTGAGATGTTTCTGTTAATTGACTCAGATATGTTTTGAGAAAAGTGTAAATTTAATAGGAGCCAAGTAAAAATAATTAAATTCTAATTACAAAGTGGACTATTGACTAGGAAGTATTTACAACTTTCTCCTCATTTAAGCTACTGAACAGGGTATTTAACTAAGCAGTGAAATATTGTGGGTAAGTTTACTGCCACATCCTGAGGAGATTGTCAGGAAGTGAAAGAAATCTATAGTAATGGGTTTTGCATCTGATTTTTGATTATATTTTTTATGCTTCTTTTTCTGGTTTGCAAGCAGCAGGCTCTGTTTTTATGTTTGCCAGGGAATAATTGCAAATTGTAATGTGTCTAATGACAGTATAATTACTTACAAGTTCACGCTTGTTTGTTTTTTGGTTTTTTTTTTTTTGGTAATTTTTCATTCTAAATTCACATCTGACTTTAAATTGTGGCCAATTCTTGCTTCTGGCATCAGCAGAGTGTCTCTCTACTCTGTTAATGTGAGGAGTGGTCATTCTGCTGCTCATGAGTAGAGCAGTTTAGGAGCAGCACCCAGGAGTGTATAAAATGTACTAAAGAGATGAGTTCTGTGCAGAAGGGAAAGAGCAGTGGTGAGGTTGATGAGTGGTTTCCTCTGCTACAACTGCTTGGCATTCCTCCGTGGTGGGGGGGTTTAATGCTACTTTTAATGCAATTCACTAGCTTAAGAAATGGAAAATCCTTGATTAGCCTAATGTGTTTCAACTGTTCAATGCTAAAGAGAAATAATTTTTGGTTTTAGGTTTTTCTTTAAATAAAACTGGTGAAAAGTAAACTTCTCCTGTATGGAAACTTCCACATCTCAAAAAACTAAACTGCCTTTGCTGAAGTGCTGCACAAAAATAGATAAGTTCATGATACAATTATGTTGTGATGCTTAATCATTGTTACTTTTCACTATTAATAAGAAGCCACCCAGGACTTGAGGTCTGAATTTTGACTATTATATTTTAGATGGCAGTATTTACATAATCTGATGTCTGGTTTCAAATCTTGGTGGCATTAGAAAAGAATATTCATGTATTCATCCTTAGTAGGATGAATGTTTAAGTTGTCAATGGACCTCTTCCCTGAAACTGAACTTCAAAAGCATATTTAAAGATTAATTTTTTTTTTTACTTAGTTTTTAAGCACACTGGATTCTGTTAAAAGCCTGTCATTAGTGTAGGACAGCTTGTAGAACACACTAGAGTTTGATGCTGCCTTTTCCCATTCAAGATATCTGTCATGACTGAGTCCTTACCTTGGGCTGATGTCTTTTGGTGTGAAACAGAGGCATAAAAAGGACAAAGATTTTTTTCACATAGCCTGAGGGATTCAGCAAAAGCTGGAGCTGTCTAAACCTTGAGGACTCTGCAATGCCCTCTCGCCCCAGCCTGTCCACCACTGCAGAAGGTGCCTGAGGGCAGGGCTGCAGCCCTGGCCTGGAGGATGGGGCAGGAGGAACATGGCATCTATTGGAAAAGAAGTTTAGTTATATCCAGTTCCTGTCTGCTTTCCTTCCTTTTGCAAAAATAAAAAAATCAGGATTATTTTCTTATGTATGTATTTATTTATTTATTTATCTATCTGTCTATTATTTATTTATTTTTTTTACTTATTTATTTTAATTTTTCATTACACAATGTCAAGCCCCTGTCCCTGAAAGATCAACTCCTCTATTCACAGAGAAAGAACAAAGGGATTGTCAACGAAACCACCATTGCCTGAACAAAACACCTGGGATTAAAATTGTTATGAGACTGATTTTGGATTTTGTGTGTGTTTGGTTTTGTAGTATGAACATGTAATTGATTCCGGTAGTTTTAAAATCAATTTAAAAAAAAAATAAATTGACTACAGTAGCACTGCTTAATATAAATCGACTTATTTGTTGCAAGTTCATTTTCTGCCTTGAAAAAATAGAAAAGGTAGCGCAGTTGCAGTGTATTTTCAGGCAAGAATTATATATGCAATGTTTGTACTGAACAAAATGGCTCTTTTATGAGGTATTGGAAAGTTTTTAAACTTAGGAATGAGATAACACCCCCTTGAGATGATCATCAAAATCCCTTTAATAGTTAAGATTCGGCCTGAGTGCTTTTCTCTACCTTTGCTCCTCAGTTTGCCAGCAGCAGGCTCTGTTTTTATGTTTGCCAGGGAATAA